TTGTTTGTGTGCAACTATGTGATACCCTGCAGTGAGTCGGTTGCTGGACAATGAAAACCGAGGCCTTTCAGTGTTTACTGCTTTGGCTTTTTTGACGGAAAGACCACGAGGTCAGAAAACATGGAAACTGCAGCCAACCATGAGAGTTGGTTTTCTAGTTGACTAAACTGGTTTCGCTGAGGACTTGAGTGTGATATTGATTGACCTGATGGCCTTTCAGCCCCCTCTTAAGAGCACTCTCACCCTCTAGACAAAAAAAAAAGTTAGTTCACCCAGCTCATGCTATTCAAATGTTATATATTTGTCTTCTCTTATTAATATTAGCTCAGCTTGCTCTGTCAACAAATCTTCTTCTATGAAATAGTTATGGAATATTTACTTTAATTCTCTTTAATTAATTCATGCCTCACGGCAGGAGGGTCCCTGTGTGGAGTTTTGTATGTTCTCCCTGTGTTTGTGTGGATGAACTTTTGGTACTCCAACACTGTCTAAAAACATGCAGTTTAGGTTAAGCGGACACTCTAAATTGCCCACAGGAGTGATTGTGAGTGTGTTTGGTTGATTGTGTGGCCTTACAATGGACTGGCAACCTGTCCATCGCAATATGAAAGACAATATGGACATAGTTGGACATTTGTTAATGGAACAGAACTGTGCATACGACTCTCATCCTATTCTGCAAAGAAAAACTGTTTAAAGGTTGTTTTGTGAGTAAAGACATGATGTTTGTGTTAATATTGTCCCTAAAAATGAAAAATGAAAAATGACCATTTAGTTTGTTGAAATAGTTAAGGAAAGGTTAGGTGCTTTTGAATAAAAATATATTATGGATAGAGATTGAATAAATGCTGCTTTTAACCTCCTGAGACCCGAGCTTTTATTTGGCATGCATTTTAGCTTTTTTTTTAAGATAAATGAGATACATATTTAATTAAATGTTTTTACAATTTTGTTCTGACAGTCCCATTGACTCATTTACAGTTTTTCTATTACACAATAAGAACATGATTGGATGGAAATGTATAAAACCATTTTACTTTAGATTTCAAACAGTGTCTGATAGCATCTGCCATGAGGTCAAGAGGTCAAAGCTGAAAGAAAAAAAGAGAGAAAAAATGCAACGTCCTCTTATGAGGACACATGGTCTCAGGAGGTTAATATCATGACAGAACAATCTTTTTTGGTCTAGAAAGACACATACTTTGTGTGCCTGATAGGAGGAGGACCCAAATTCAGAGAAGGTTTAAACAACACTTATGGTGTACAAATAAAAATAAACTTTTATTGAAACTAAACAGAAAGTTTACTTGACAATTGCTTGACAATGACAACCCACTTAGAATTTATTGAATTAATTATTAGTTCATCTGAAAAAATAGTTTTATAAAATCACTGGACACCGCGTGACAAATATGCCCCACTGTAAAGAATGCAAAAACAATAGAAAAAAGGGAAATAAATAGATAAACTGTGGTTTTCCTGTGAGAGGCCACCCTTTTTCAGCCAAGAAAAAGAACAATTAAAGTCCAATTTGTGTGTATTTAACTCTTGTGAAGGCATCCTCGTGAATCCTTTGGAACCTTAACTAACTGCTGGGTAAGACGTATTTACACACACACACCGTGTGCATGTGTGTGTGTTCAGAATACTAAAGTAGATTGAAGGAGAGAGAGAGAGGATGAGAACAGGCCAAAAACGAGAGTGAAAGCAGGAGGATGAGAGGCAAAGACAATTAATCAAAAGATTAATAGACAGAGTAAAATGGCTCCAATCCAGCGAACACAAACGCCTATCTAGCTCACGTTGTAAACCTTTTCCTGTCTCGGTTTACAGTTTTTAACTTTTTTATTATTTGTTTTCTACCATGCGACTTATCATCCCTTTGTGGTCAAGGACAATGACTCCTGTAACCATTATTTTCACACTGTTTTTGTTATAAGTTCTCCAGTGCAGACACAAACGCACAATCAAAGACAGATAAAACCTTCAAATCAGTGGAGTTAAATTGAAAATTCTAAGTTTACAGGTCATGATTCTGTCACATTCTTCTCCACAAACGTGCAGAAAGAGCCCCATAACTTAGAAGGAAAGTCTAAAGAAAACATCAAACCCTGAGAAAAACAACAAAAACCCTGTATCAAAGGTAGGCAGTCCTTGGATATTTAGTAGTACAATATCCTTTTTAAGTTATCTTTTTTCCCTTATTATGAATGTGGTAGGTTTGTTATATATTTACTTTGCTAAATATAAAATATTTATATACAGAATAGAATTTTAACGTGTTACCCTTAGAATTAGCATCTTTCTTAGTGCTTATTTCATAGTTTCTAATGTAATCCATTTTCAGAATTGCAAATGTGACATGAATTCAAATATCTGAAAAAATATTTTCTGCTATAATATTTGGTAAACAAAGAAAACCGATAACCTTATTTAGTTTAAAAGCAGCAGCAAAGTACAAATGTACAAAATAAAATAGATGACATCCTTACAGGTTGAGTTTTTAAAACTTACCAAATGCAGTCAAATGATTATTTTCCTAATGTAACGCACAAATAATAGTCCAGATTTAGTGCTATCTTTAACCCCAACACATTGGTAAAGAAAATATGCACAGCAATACAATATATATATATATATTTTTTTTTTTACAAAAACAAGCCTCAATACTTTAGCCATAGCTCATTAAAGAAGCCATGTTATGCCATGCTTACACGATTCCCTGCTATCTTAGTGAACTGTCTGTGACACGCTTCGGTCAAAATAACATTGAGAGTGACTGCGGATGATTTTCCGCCATTGACATGCGTTGTGTTCAGATAAATCCTTTTAAGGTTGTAGAGTGACCCGCTTGACTCCAGTCCACCCCTCTCTTTCAGAGTCTGCCTCTTTTCTGATCCATCGTGCCTGATAGCAGTTGAAGCATGCTATCATTATTGAGAGCACACATATTACTGCGAGCGTAGGGCACACAAAGCTGGAAGAAAAACACTTCACTAACAATTTTGTTCACAAATAGGTGGATTTTCCTTCACTGCAGTTAAATTGTGGGAAGCTCAGAGGCTATATTTTGGTAGTTCGCCTTGAATTGTGTTGTATATTAAGTGTTGGACTGGGCCAAGTTGACAAAAACCCTACTGCACTCTCAGTTCTTTTTATAGTTAAAGGAATCCACACATAATAAACATGAACAAAAAAGATGTGCTTACTCAAACACCTGTGTCTGCTTGTCTCTACTAAAGGAAACCTTTACCTCACAGTTACATCCTCACATCGTTAGTTAGTAGCCGTAAATGTAGAAAGCTGTAAAAATAAAACCTGCTTATTGGAGGACGTTTTTCTGCCAAATCATTGATGAGCTCTTGTGAGTCTGCTGGCACGGCTAAGGAATTGAACGTGTCTGAGGAACTGATAACTTCACCTGGCCTCATTGATTTACAGTAGCTGCGCATTACTGCGCACATTAAGATGGCCGTGCTTGTTTGTTTATGCTTCGAGCAAGGCACAGCAACTTCAGATTTATGGTGCTCAGATTTTTTCCAGGTTATTCTCTAACAATCCCTAACAGTTTCAGAGTACCTGGTATTCTAATCTGACAGATGGCTGTTGACTGAGCAATGCAGGTATTCATTTCTTTGTTTTCGGAAGCTCTTTGACGAAAGTGCCAAAGTCTTACAGATAGTCTTTCCACATTTGGCAATGAGGCGCTACGTGGCCTCAGCATTTATCTGAGCCTGAGTAAACAGTTTCGAGGCAGCTTAATCGATCTCCCATCCATCCAGTGCAGGAAAGCTCCACGTTCAGTTCATCTTCGAAGGTCCCAGAGAGAGGGGCAAAGGTCACTTACCAACGTGGCAAAAAAGATTTCAGCCAGTCTGTTTGACAGGCAAAGGGAGGACATATTGATGGCAATAAAAGGTGTATGCAGTGTTGGCAGTTATGATTTCGTGAGTGTAGGACATTTTGTTGCAGAAAAAACCCTTTGAGCATGTGAGAAAACATTTTCCCCTGTATTAAAGATTTTTGGTTCATTAATTGGTTTAATGCAAAAATGTACAGTCTCTGTAAAATCATTGGCGTGATGCAGATGATATAGAGTTCACTGGTGGCCTAACAGATCAGGGAGATCTTTCCTCACACACCAATGGAATAATAGTGGTGAAACCAAAAAAGAAGAAATTAGAGAAAACTAACAGTAAAGTTGAGTACATTTGTCCTCATGTAAAGTGAAAGAGTTCTCCACAACTTGCTGTTTAAAATGAAAAGTTAGTCCCCAGTTGACTTTTAGAAGCTCAGAATAAATGTAAGGCTTTGATTCTGAATACACAATTTTGTTTGAAATGTTACCACATTAATGAGTAATGAGTGATATAGTGATAAGTATGTATGGTGATTTTTAAACCATTACCTTCAAAGCATCTGGATCAAAGGAAAGGGCACCTCACTGGATCGTCTCACCTCTTTCTACGCTGACATTGCCAAATCTGTGGAAGAGATGCAAGGCTTTCCTTAGTTAGTTAATTAGTTAATGACTGAGTGCTTCTACTGCCACGAGCATGATAAGCGGTTTCCCTCTGCTTGGTGTTGGGTCATTGAGTTTCATGAACCCTCAGACTTTGGGAGACTTTCTGAGCTTGTGGTCTTGGACAATGTATTAAAACACTCTACTTTTGCCTAACATGTTATTCTGTCTGTCTTTTGCATTGTTCTGAGTAGCTTGATCATTCTGAGGAGCACATTTAGTCTGTATATGGCATCCTTTTACATTGCTTATGAATAGCGGTACTCTTCTTTGTTGCAGTAATGCAAAAACTATAATATTACAGTCTATTTTAGTTTAATAAAGATACCCCAATCTCAAATAAGTATATAGGCATTCTCATTGCTTTACTCTGTTGGGAACTACTTTGTTATGAACGTGTGATTCAGATATGTGCTTCACTCTCTCTTTATTTACATCATAGTCACTACCTGCTTCTTCTTCTTATCTCCCCATGCAGGTATTCCTTCCAAGATGAGGAGGACATGTTTATGGTGGTGGACCTGCTCCTGGGTGGAGACCTGCGCTATCACCTTCAGCAGAACGTTCACTTCTCAGAGAGCACGGTGAAGTTCTACGTCTGCGAAATAGCCCTGGCTCTGGGGTACCTGAGAAGCAAGCGCATCATACACAGGTAAGATGTTTTCACCTAATTCTCCTTCACTGGCCATATGACGTCCCCGTGTTCTCGTTTAATTCCATTGAATTTTCCCATATGACTGCTCCACCACTGTGCAGATGGGGCAACAATCAGAACTGAGATTAGATCACACTTATCTGAAGACCATCAATTGTGAAAATCATCAGTTCTGTAGATGCTGATATGTTGACAGCCTCATTTAACTAGTAAAATGATCATTAAGTGCATTATAGATATATGTTCTATTATGGCAAACTTGCTGACTTGGGTCAACAGAAGCATTGTTCCTGCTAAATGCTATTAGTTTATGCCAGGAAAGTGATTCAGAAAGGTTTGGGTTTTCCAGCCAAATGTACGGCCAATACACTGTGACTATGCATACAGTTTGCATTTGTGTAATATGCTTTCTCCAGTCCTGAAGGGTTTATTATCCTGAAAAACATCTCTTCCTTGAAATTTGTAGTTGATATTCCTTGTTTTGAGTATGTTTTCTGTAGTATATATATAGATCCCTCATATGGAGGGATGGAACTATTGCTAGTAAGCATTACTTTTGATAATATATCATCATGAGGTGTGTGAAAATATTTATAATACGATTATACTGAAGACCTGTACGGGTAATAGGTTTTATGGGATGATAAGTCATATCCGACTGTCTGTTGACTGTAAAAGAATATTCCGACTTTACTGCTGGCTGACTGGAGCCTTTTCTATATCTACAGTAGCTCAGGTTCATGTCCTGGTTAGCCCGACCTTTGAAAGGTACTTTCCTGCTCTCTGGCAACTATTCAGCTCATTAAAAACTTTTAAAAAATATGCGCCGTGAACATAAAATCTGAGCGGATACTTTTTACCTATCAATAACTCTTGGCTTACATTAGCAATAAAGAAACAGAAAATGCATCCATAGAATTTTTTTTCAAATAAAGCCGTGTGTGGCAAGATATAAAGTAAAGCAATGGAATGATATAATCATTCTGAGCAAAGAGTTAGAAATTGTGTTTACCAAGGAAGAATGAAGAATAGACACAAAGTCCAAGTGCTGAAAGAGTTGGCTTTTGTAATTTAAACAATGTCTCAGATACAGCATATCCTGTAAAGAGCCATTCAGACCATTTTTGAAAGATAACAATGCATTGAAAAAAAAACAGTGGGCCATCATAACATGTGCTTTGTGATGGTGGAGCAAGACTGAATTACTGATCATTGATTTTATGAGAAAGAGTGGGTAAAGTTTTGCTGTTAAAATCTTTTAAAAAAAACTATTCTTTCCCCCCAAAAAAGCGAAAAAACCCTTTCCCTTATGGACTAATTCCTCTGCTCTAGGAAATGAGCAAAGATGTAATCATAGGAAAAGAGGCATTCGCAGATCATGACTAATAGGAAACATCACTGCAACAGGGAACAGTGATTTATCAGCGACCGGGGATAACAAATTATACCACTTAACGTTAATCAGGCTGCTTGCTCCTGTCCATGTTCTTAAACCTCCACAGGAAAGAGAGGGCGAGCCATAAATACGGCGGATTAATAATTTGCTTATTCATCCGGTCCTTTGGGGGATGTGAATATTTAAATTGTGTTTTTCTATTTTAGTCCTGGAGAGAACAGACTTTTTTCGACTTGATGTGCAGGTGTGGGGCTTATTTGTTTAGATGGAATCAGCATCGTTTCAGTCTGCATTCATTAGCTTCAAATGGGAATGGCGGTTGGAAGTAGCTTCAGCTCATCTCTATGGAAATTAAATAAATCATTTCCATCCTCAGATGTGGATGTGCTGATTTGGGTGCAGCAAGTGAATGCACCGTGAGCTTTTACAATGCGTTTGCGTGCGCCTGTCAGCATATGTGTAAACGCAGGACGGTCATAATGAGACATGCAATGATCATAATGACATCGGTCAGGTGCAATATGGGGATAACGTAATTCTGTTATCAACAAGACGAAAGTGGTAGGCAATAATTGTCTTTTCACATGGTGGCAAGCACAACTTCTAAGCACACAAGACAAAACATAGATACATACTGAGTTAGAGAATTTCCCTTTTGGATTTTGTGCCTTTTACTTACAAAAAAATGGTTCAAGGAAGAACATCCAATCAAATAAAAATAGGATAATAATACAACTTGCTTTGCATGTGAATGCATAGCTAAAAGGTCTTATGAAAAGTGGCTTCCAAGAGATAACATCTACTTATTTCTAAAGTGTCACATATTTGTACTTATTTAAATATATGTGGGTATTATTGTAAAAGAAAACAACCTTGGAAGCCACCCCACAACCAACTGGAGGATCCATAGCCACACCTTGGTAGTTATACCACAGGGCACGTTTTGAGGTCTTATTGGGTTCAAAATGGTAAAACAGCATTCAAAATTATTTTACTTAATAGCTTATACAGTACCTTATATGGTAGTGCATACTCAGTTTGAGACCACATTGTATTTTAGGCAACAATTATTCTCTTAAAATAAGAATCCGAATAAAGTTTTTTTTTATGTCCAAATCAAATTAGATAAATGTACATTAATATGTTCATGGTAATTATGATATGTATTGTCACAAATTACTTTGAGAGTGGCATTTATCTACAGTGCAGTTCAGACTAACAAAACAGCGACAATGACCTCAAACATCTTTGTGTACAATACTGCAAATTGTTTTCATTGATAAACTGTTCCGATGTAGGCCAATGAAAGGAAAAACGCTCATTTGAGTAGGGGCAGTACACAATTGAGCAGAGTTCTGCTCACCGGACAGAAAACTGATACAGTTTAGTGTAATTTACTGGACAATATGGGGACATAAAACATTTGCCCATGAAGTGTGATGGGAAATGAAAGACACTTTCTCTCATTGAATGGAAAAAGTTGTCTGTATCGAAGCCCCTCTGCTATTGGAGCAGCTCGTACTTTATTTGATGCATACAATCCAGAAATTTACCGGATTCAAATCAAGGTTGGGGCCTCTTTTAATGACACAAATGTGTGCTCTCCAGCTTCCTTTCATAGTGTAAAAAGATACACAATGTCACACATTCCCTTATAATATTAATTCGGGAGAGATGTTTGCTCTAGCAAATCTTTTCCCTTCATTTCTCTTATACAAATGTCGCTACTCAGCATCAAATCATTCAAAGTTCTACTGTGAATGAACTCGATGCTCTACTTCACCACCAATATTTGACACCCTCAGATTCATTGTAAAGCAGCCGGAATTCAGAGACACGTCAAATCTTGTCTAAATCGTTAAATCCTGGCTGCAGCTACCACATGCTCCTTTACGGCCGGATTATGGAGAGCTGTGTTCAGCCACTTCTGTAATTTTCTGAGACCGGAGTGTACGTCCACACGCTGAGATGAAAAAGTAAGCAGGGTCATAACCCTTTCTCCCTGGCTCTCTTTTATTTAATGCGCATCTGTTTGGGAGAGCTACAGCATGAATGCTTTTCAGGAGAGACTGTCTGACAACGTGCAGCATTATTTCCACCTCTGTTTTTTCTTTTTTTCTCTTTTTTTTTTGCCAATGTTTACGACCAAAGCAGTTTGTTTACGGACTGCATGGTCTGCTAGGGAAGAGTAGATACATTGAATTGTATGGAAGTGGGATATAACCTTAATTTTATTATTATTTAAAATTATTCCTCAACATAAAAAACTTATAGCTCATTGCAGTACATTGGTCTCTTCTGTTGCTTATGACTTTTGAAATCCCAGAGGGTCCAACAAAATTGCGTTTTGCTCTACTCGCTATGGCCACCAGCTTTTGAATGCACCCATGAGAGCAGAAAGGAAAAGCTATAAAAACTGTGAATATTAAATGTGCAAATCTTTGCTTTAGACAAATTCAACTGAAGCCATTCATGTACAGCAACAAGACATAGCAGCTAAATTCACACCAAACAGCAACAAAGTGTACATTTTTTTTCTCCACTAAAAATAATCTTTTTTATTTATGGTCTTCTTGAGAAGTGTCAAGTACTCTTCAACCTCATTTAGGATTTGTTAGTGTTTTAACACTAACCGGTCTACTGAAGCTAACCACTAACCCCTGTGGGGGGTTTGAATTATTAACAATAGACTGAGTCACAATTAGATGACATCTTCAGAGACGGTATGGGTCTCTCAAACAAGTGGAAAGATAAATGGAAACTGCGTAACAGGGGAGATGTGTGTACAATTATTTTCATTGGCTGAGCTTGTTTTTGCGCACGTTAAACTCACCACAGCTTCTTCGACATCAACAGCAATTATCCCCGCATGAATCCTCAGGTGCATTTTTGGTGCCTCCTCAAAACCTCGTAATGGAAAGAATTGCATGTTGTTCGCCAGCAGACGCGTTTAACACGTCAGTATGCAGCTGCGCTTCTTTTTGGAGACACACTGACTATTAGAGCTGTTAAGGGACCAATCAGCCCTTTTAAAGCTGTTTATTTTCTACAGCTTAGTGAAGAAAATGTTGTAGATCCGGTTGGTCTCTCTTGATAGAAATGTAGTGTAGTCAAATTGAAGTAATTTTTAAAGGCGAGTTTGCACAAGCAAATATAGGATTAAATGGCTACTGCGCTATATTTACAATGCTAACTGCCGTTTTTAATTTCTTTTTTAGTAAAAGAAAAAAGAAAAGTGTTTGTCATGATGGGTTGTTTTCATTTGTTCTCTATTTTACAGTTTGGCCAAAGATTTGTCTTACACAGGATTACACAAGCTGCTACCAACACATTTGGTCAATATTCTGTTGACTAACATAGGTTCAAACCAAAAAAAACAACAACACACATATTCTATATACAGGGGTTGGACAATGAAACTGAAACACCTCTCATCTTAGTGTGGGAGGTTTCATGGCTAAATTTGACCAGCTTGGTGGCCAATCTTCATTAATTGCACATTGAACCAATAAGAGCAGACTGTGAAGGTCCAATTAGTAGGGTAAAAGCACAGTTTTGCTCAAAATATTGCAATGCACACAACATTATGGGTGACATACCA